ATCACTTAAAAGTGTTGCCAGAAGGTTATAAGACGATGCAAAATATTCCAAAAAAAACTTTGCTAGAAAAAAATTATAAGCGAGCAATAATAATGTGCTGCTAGAAACTTATCAAGTAGATATTGCAGGAAATTTTTTTAAAACGTTTTGCAATAAAAATAAAAATAAAAAAAAATAATTGAAAAAAAAAAAAAAATTGCTTGAAAATGTTGCATTTTGCCTTGTAAAGAATTTTTATTTTTTTTAATTATTTTTTTTTTTTTGTTTCAAACAAATTCAATAAAAAAAAACTTTTATAAAAATGTTTAGTAATCAGCAATAAAAATAGCAAAAAATTTATCAATAAATTTTCTAAGAATAATAAAATATATATAATTTTTCTGCATATAAAGGGTGATTTTTTGAGAGCTATAGGAAAGTTTTCAAAAAAGAATAAACACAAAAAAATTCAAAAAAATGCATGAAATCCTTATTTGAATCGATAGTACGGTCCATATAATTTAATGTTGACCGCGACTGCGCCTCAAATGGTCCATCCGCCTAGTCCAATTTTGGCATACTCTTCCAGCATTTCGGCTGGTTTCTCACGAATAAATGCTTCAATATTGTAATCCAATGCGTCAATTGAAGCGGGCTTGTCTGTATAGACATTAGATTTAACATTACCCCACAAAAAATAGTCTAAAAACGTTAAATGCACGATCAATTGGCCAACCCCGATCGTGAAACAAAATGTTCATCGAACTTGCCTCTCCATAAGTTCATTGTTACGTGTGCTGTGTGACATGTGGCACCATCTTGTTGAAACCACATGGCATGCAAGACAAGCTCTTGCATTTTGGGCAAAAAAAATTTCATATCATATCACAGTAACGCTCACCATTCACAGTTACGTACAGTCCAATGATGCCACCAGCCCATAAGCCACACCAAACTGACTTTTACCAGAATGCATTGGTAGCTCTTGCTATGTTTCTGACTGATCTTTACTCCAAAATACAGTTGTTGTTCGTTTGTCAGACGATTCATGGTGAAATTATAGACCAAACTGAAGATGTTTGACGACGATACAAAGAACGAAACGCTATTTAAACCAGTGTTGCCAAAGAGATAATAGCTAAAAAATTACCCTTTACATACATACATACATATATGTAATAAAATAGTGCTAAAAAAGTTGAAGGTAAGACTTTTTGTATCAATTTTGCGCCGCAATTAATTGCCTGTGTCTCAAATCTCTACACTGTTTTCATCACATTATATATGTAAGTACATAAGTATGTATGTTTTATATAATTCACTTGCGCGTCTGCATTCAACTTGATTCTATTCGTAGAATGCAATGCAATGTGGTGAAGCGTGGAAGGAGAAAGAAAAAGAAGAAGAAGAAGCACATAGTGACTACCTGCAAGCACCGAGCAGATAGAAATAACTACGTTCCAACTGAAATAGAAAAAAAATCCACACACACAAAAACACATACATATATAATTTATACCATGCATATATAAGAGCACATATGTATGTGTACGTGCACCTCCAGCCTACCTTATAGATACACCAGGCATACCGTCATATAACGATTGGTACGTACGTATGTAGGTAGGTAGGTAGGTATAAATAAACAGAAGAGTAAATAAACAACAATAATGTACATAAAATATATATATAGAACTGTATATGCAGCTGTATATTTGTATGTTTGCACGTTCATCATGCGATCGTACGACAGCTAAAATAGCACACTTTATCGTAAACGAACTTCATTGCCTGCTCCAGCGCAAAACTTGCTAGGCTTGCTAGGCGCGAGGCAAGGTGCGGACAGTTGGCGTTGGTTGGCATGCATGCAGTTCAAGTTCCAAAAATAGCCACAGTCGCAGCAGCGACAGCAGCAAGTGGTTGATTGTTAAGAATAAATGAACAAATAAATAAATACAATAAATGCAAAGAGAAAAGCAAGGCGAGAGTAAAGAATGTTGGCGGCAATAGACGGATGCGCTGCGCTGCGCTGCGCCGACTGGAGATCGCGGCGGCTGCGTTCGATGTAATTCCCTACAAATATGCTAATTGAGCGGAGTTGGTGGAAGGAGAACAAAATGGAATAGCAGAAAGGAATTGAGATGAATGTCGGGAATCATGCATATACATATGTAAACAGATATATACATACATGTGTTTATACATACAAACATAGGTATATATCCATAAGTATGCTTATGACTGGGCAATAAATAAAGGAAGCGTGGTTTAGATTGCATTTAAGGAAAAAATGACACACACATACACACACACACACGCACACACACACACACACACACGCACACACACAAAACACAGAAAAATGAGTGAAAAGAATGTGAAGTGTGTTTTAAATTTAGCTTTCAGTAGTTTAATGACACAAACTAAGAGGAATTCAATTAGAAATACACTTTAATGCGGGTCACTGAATGACTACGGTGTGATTGTATTGTATGTATGTACGTATGAGAGCATAAATAAGTGAACAAGCATTTATTTTTTTTTTTTTGTTTTTTTTTTCTTTAGTCTGTTGAAATTGAACTAAAAGCAGTTTGAATTGCTTTGCTGCGCTCATTTGAGCTAAAAAAAAGTGACTTTTTACTGCTAAATTTTAATTTTCAAATAAAACAGAAAGTAGATATAGACTCAGCGGACTTTCTGCTCATTCCAATGGCATGCAATCAACACAATTGTGGATGGTAATCTGTATATTTAAGAGAAGCGGTCGCTTTTCATATTAGAAGCCAGGGCAGTTGATGCTTTTTGAATAACTCAGTCCAAAAGATTTCAAAAATGACATTAAATTTGATTACGTGCTGAACTCGGTTTCAAGAGAGAACACAGTTCACTGTCTTCCCAGTCACCCATAAGAGACTGTTTGATGTGGCCATGCAGAATTTGACGGTTTCCAAGGCCCGTTATTGTAAACGAACGTCTATCACAAAAGTGGCTTGCCAGGTTCCGTTCCGGTAATTTCGATGTCAAAGATGAACCACGCGTCGGGAAGCCTATCGTCGTAAACTGCGATAAAATCATGGAAATAATGGAAACAGACCGTCACGTGAGCACTTATTTAGTTGCTGAGGACCTAAAGATAAGCCAGAGAACCGTTTGGAACCATTTACATAACCTTGGATTCAAAAAGAAGCTCGATGTTTGGGTGCCACACGAACTAACGCAAAAAAAAACATGTTGGACCGAATTTCCATCGGTGAATTACTGCTGAATCGCAACAAAATCGACCGTTTCTGAAGCGGATTGTGACTGGCGATGAAAAATAGGTCACTTACGACAACGTCGAGCGCAAACGGTCGTGGTCAAAGTTCGGTGAAGCGGTCCAGAAGGTGGCCAAGACCGGATTGACGGCCAGGAAGGTTTTGCTGCGTATTTGGTGGGATTGATAAAAAATCATCTACCACGGGCTGCTCCCTTATGGCCAAGCGCTTAATTCGACCCTCTACTTCCAACAAACGGGCCGATTGAAGACGACACTCAACCAGAAGTGACCATCTTTGATCAACAGAGGACGAATTGTGTTCCAACAGGTCAACGCCAGACCACGTACGTCTTTGCTGACGCGCCAGAAGCTTCACGAGCTCGGATGGGAGGTCCTAATGCACCCACCTTATAGTCCGGACCTGGCAACAAGTGATTACCATCTTTTCCTGTACACAACGAACGCGCTTAATGGCGAGAACTTGGCCTCAAGTGAGGTCTGTGAAAATTGGTTCTCTGATTTTTTTGCCAATTTGGGCATAGCCTTCTAAGAGAGGCGTGTATTGCCTGTTGTTATTTTTCTCGAAAATAAATGAAACTACATTTTGATTTGAGCCGTCATCGTATACCTGAAGGATTTTTATGCGTTTAGTAGGATTTAGTAGTTTAGGTTACGTAGAAGTGACCGATTTCAAACGGAGCCCATATAGGCACGGTTGTTTCTTACCGTTATGGTGCCAGAAAGTGAAAAAATGATCTGAACGCGAGAACACTTTCACAGTTTCAGCTTGGCAAACTTAGAACAGTTCGTAAGAAAGTACATACGAGTATTTGAAGAGTTGGCCTTCTCACAGATAACAACTTGGCGCTAATTTAAAGTCCAAAAGTCCGAAGTTCATAAGGATTAGCGTTCACCACATTTCCTCGTTAGCCATATGATCTTAATTCTGAAATATATGTAATGTAGTAAGGATACATTTTCATTTTTCTCGCTCCCAGTATTATGTAAAAGCCAATGCTCTATCGGGGTATATATTGGCCTGACCACCGAAAAAAGACTCTCCGAAGCAGTATTTATGCCAACCGCTGAAAGCCTTAATCCCTCCTGTCGGTGAATACTTCTCGGCAGAATACCTCGGTACCGATCTTTTCATTAAGCTTGAAGAAATCAAGTGCTTTTTATTTCAAAATATGACATTGAGTGATTTTTTTTGCGCGTACTGTCCATTGGTTAGATATTTATGAGTAGGAAAACACTTAAAATTTTAATTTTAAATAGTTAACTGTTATGATTGCCCTCAAAGTTTTTGACTGCGAAGTTTAGGGAACAAAAGATAAACCGGGAACCGGAGGTGATTCTTTTAGAGCAAAATAAATAACAAAAACTTTCTCAATTTCATTATACTGAAACATTTCTCACACACAAAACTCCAAAAACCAGAAACCAGATCGAATATTCTACACTGGATACAGTCCGTAGAAGGTCTAATCAGCTGATGGAGTAATCAAACGTGCCCAAACGAGCGGACGTAGTGGTTGTGAGAAAAATGTTGCTTTATTTTTGGGAAGCAGGCTAAGACAGACAATATCAATTGGACTAGTTGAGGTATATTCCAGTATCTATATGGCTCCTCTCCGCCATCGAGATCGGTACTAATAAACTGATAAAGATCACAAAAGAAAAAGTGGATCGTCGAGCCTCATCTAGAGTACCAGAGAAAGTCAAAATTCTAACTAACTTTTTTTTACAAAAATCAAACATCAACTTTAAGTTTTAAAATATTATATTATAATTTTTTATTATTTGCACTTTATACTACAAATACCTACAAATGCATGCGAGCTTAGATGGCAATTCTGTGTATCAGTCACTAGTCCATATCCGTTGCAAGATTCACACATCAAACTGTTAAACCATCAACGTGCCGCTTAATATTGATAGTATTGGTTGGGGTTGTAAGCGACAGGACCGTAAGCAGCATGCAGAGGAGCTACATAGGTGGGGATGGGTGCAGAGTAGGCACCGGCAGAACCGTACGCTGGTGCGGCAGCTGGTGCAGCGCAAGGTACTGGAGCCAAATTAGGTTGACAGCTGAAGAGATAGTTCTTGGGGCATGGTGGAGCAGGAATGCTGGCACCGCCACCATAAGCTGATTTACGGAAACGGCTTAAATCGTAAGCGCCCTGTGCACCCTGTTCGGCTTCGGCTTCCTGTGCACCGGTAACGGATACAGATGAACCAGCTGGACCGGCTAGGACAACGCTGAAGACGGCGGCGAAGATAGCGATGCAAACGAAGGATTTCATTTTAAAAATGTTGAGTTTTGAGTTTGTCCCGGTGGTGGTGGTGGTGGTGATGATGGTTGTCTCGTGCGTACTTGTGCTGGAAAGCTACGAAAGTGAACTGATGACTGAAATGGGTGAGCGTGGGGTCTTTTATACTTGAAAATGCTGAGTTGAAATTTAGTTTGCGGGTGTTACCTTTCTACGCTTGTGCTTTTTTCTTCTTCTTATTTTTTTACTGCAGTAAGCGAAAATCGGAAATTGATTGCATTTATTGTACTTTTTTCTATAAATTTTTCTGCTTAATTTCAATTTATTTTTAGCGTTGGAAATTTTCATGGCGAATATGAGTACGTATGCAAAAGAAGGTTCATCCGGTTCATATAAAAAACTGATTCCGCATTTTTTATGCACCGAGTGCATTCACTTTTGCTTTTCATTTGATTTTGTCGTTTTGTTTTCGTTTTTGTTCTTTGTTTTTATGCTTTGGTGTATTATTATGATGTCAATGCCTTGACATTATTTTACATAATTAAATTATTCATTTACCGGCTTATTTTGTCTTTATACCATTCACACAAATGAGCCAAAATATGAATGAAAAATTTTTGAAATTGTTTAAAAAAAAAAAATACGAAGTTTGAGGCAAGAAATGTACTTGAATATTTAAGGTTAAGAACCACTTTGCATCAGACTTGTGCCGAAAGCAAAAAAAAAAAAAATACTGAATCACCCAATCTGAAACAAGAGTTCCACTAATATCCACAAAACTCTGCTTTACCGCGTTGAAGTAGGTTTTCGACTCAAAACGTTGGAAAGACACCTTAGAAGGAGAGAGATTGCAAAGTAAGTAGCTAAATGTAAGCTCCACGAACTGGTCTGCAAAAATTAGTTCAAAAACTATTTATTTATTCTTCGTAAAGATTTTTTCATTACCTATGAATATGACTTAAAGGGGGTTGTATATTGGGTTGTCCAAAAAGTAATTGCGGATTTTTTAAAAGAAAGTAAGTGCATTTTTAATAAAACTTAGAATGAACTTTAATCAAATATATAATTGCCATTTTATTCGATAACCTTGTGCCATCTTCCTGGCAAATTTAGCATTCCACGCTCATAGAACTTCTGGCCTTTATCTGCAAAAAACTGAACCAAGTGCGATTTTATAGCCTCATCATTGCCGAAAGTTTTACCATTTAAGGAGTTCTGCAAAGATCGAAATAAATGGTAGTCTGATGGTGCAAGGTCAGGGCTATATGGTGGATGCATCAAAAGTTCCCAGCCAAGCTCACTCAGTTTTTGGCGAGTGACCAAAGATGTGTGCGGTCTAGCGTTGTCCTGGTGGAATATGACACCTTTACGATTGACCAATTCTGGTCGCTTCTCCTTGATGGCTGTATTCAATTTGTCCAATTGTTGACAGTAAACATCCGAATTAATCGTTTGGTTCCTTGGAAGCAGCTCAAAATATACGACACCCTTCCAATCCCACCAAACAGACAGCATAACCTTCTTTTGGTGGATATCAGCCTTTGAAGTGGTTTGAGCTGGTTCACCATGCTTGGACCATGATCGTTTTCGACTAACGTTGTTGTAAACAATCCATTTTTCATCTCCAGTTATGATTCGTTTTAAAAACGGATCGAATTCATTGCGTTTAAGGTGCATATCACAAGCGTTGATTCGGTGTGTTAAATGAATTTCTTTCAATACATGTGGTACCCAAATATCAAGCTTTTTCACCAGTCCAAGACTTTTTATGTGATAATGAACGGTTGATTTTGGTATATTTAACTTCTCTCCTATCTCACGCTCAGTTACATGACGATCCAATTCGATTAATGCTTTGATTTGGTCATCATCAACTTCATTTGGCCGACCTGAACGTGGCTCATCTTTAAGTGAAAAATCTCCAGAACGGAATTTGCGAAACCAATTTTGACACTGTCTTCCTTTTAAGGCTTCATCACCATACACATCTCGTAACTTTTTAGCAACCTGCTCCGCGTTTTTTCCTTTACGGAAATAATAAAGTAAAATATGACGAAAATGCTCCTTTGTGGGCTCCATATTAAAATTGACGCCAAACAAACAAATGTAAACAAAATTTCGCGCACTTTTTTTCTAAAGCAAGCTAAAAGTAACAGCTGATAACTGACAGAAGAAAGAATGCAATTACAGAGTCACAAGCCGTTGAAAAAATTTGTCAACGCCGACTATATGAAAAATCCGCAATTAGGTTTTGGACAACCAATAAAATTGGAAGCCTCGCCAATATTCGGTTTTAAGTTTTTCGCCCATTCTGCTACTTTCACGAAGTTTTTCGCCGACTAAATTTGGTAATCCAAATACTCTAGCTTTTTTATTTGGGCCTTTGGATTCAATTGGGATCAACTTTTTGAGATATAACTCGCTCCGCAACTTCACCCTTAAAAGATCGATAGTTTCGTGGCTGATGTGGCACGTAGCGCCATCTTGTTGAAGGTAAACTTTGTCCAGATCAATACCATCCAATTTCGGCTCCAACCTCATTTTCGAAAAAGTATGGTTCAATGACCCCCCAGATCATAAACGGCACCAAGAAGTTACAGGTTGAGGATGGAGAGGCTTTTCAGCAATAAATCTTGGTGTTTATGAGCCCCAGATGCATTTCGTGTTTACTCAAATTATCTTAGCAAATCCTCATACAGAGAGACTGAGCTGCCTCGAGAGACCCGAGCAATACTAACCCAATTAAGATCTCGATATTGCAGTCGACTTTATTCTTACTTATCTAGATTTGAAATCGACTTACGCAACGTAAGTTCTGCATACAATGAGACTCCACACCAAACCAAAATCTTCTTGGTAAGACTTCTAAAACTCCTACTCATCCAAGTCTCCTTTCTATCTGATCAGAAGGCGTCAAAGCAGAACGTTTCCTGAACGCTCCGTTAGTTGCCCTCGAAGACTAGACTAGTGTTGCCTGCTTCTAACTGTTACAGCAACAACAAAACACAACACTATTTCTATAGGTAGATTAAATACGGAGGAACTTCCGTATAGTAAAGAAAGACTTTGGACGACTGTGTAAATCATTTTGATTTTTTATATCATTTTGGTTTGTATTCACACATAATAATATGTAAATATATATTTTTTATATACATATACATATTTACATACTTATCAACACATAAATTAAATTGCATAAATTACGTCAATCATTAATAATATTAAATAATTGTAGTATTATCTATGTATGTATACTCACATTTTGCGAACAGTTCAAATTCCACAGGTCACAAGAAAAACGAAAAGTACAGCAAAGGAGAGTGTGGCGTGTAGAAGATGGCCAATGGTTTGTAGGCGAATTTATTGGGGGTGTTTTAACGTGCACAGACACAAATAAAATCTCTAAAATCACGAGTTGCTTTTTTCACTTATTCCATTTAGTGGACAAAAAGCGTTTTTTTTTTTGCTTTTTTTTAGTACGAGTATATTAAGTAGAACCGCAAGTTACCGGTATGAATCACTTTTTATTTAGCACTAGATCGCAATGCTGAGAGATGAGTTGGTATAAACTTGCAACAGATACAAATATATATGTACACTTTCATTTAAATTTCCTTTTTTGTCTTTTTTTAATTTAATCTTTTTAATTTTTTTTAATCTTTTTTAATTTTATTTTTACTTTTTTTTTAGTTTTTTTCAATTTTTTATTATAATTTTTATTTTTTATAATTTCGTTTTTTTTTATTTTTTACGGTTGATTTTTTAAGTTTTTCTGACTTTTTGTTGTTGCTTTTATTATTATTTTATTTCGTCATGTATGTTTTTTTATAATCAATTTTCTCTTTTAAATTTTTTCACAACTTTTTTAGTTTAATTTATCACTGTGTGCGCTTCTTTGTTTAATAGTCATCTTTTAAGGGACACATATACATACATACATATATATATAAGCATGGTTTGTTCTTGTTATTTTGTTTCAAATTGTCACTCTATCTATTTTTCAGTTACTTATTTTCTGGTTCATTTGTATGTACTAATTTTTCACAGAAGCGACAACGATCAGCCGAAAGTGAAAGCGCAAATAATTTAGTGCGCTGTCAAGGTAAAAAAGGTGTACACACATAGATATATGCACACATACCTATTTGTTTGTATGTGTGTCGCCCATTGGCGGGAGGTCACTTCACTAAGAAGAGAAAAAAGAAACAACAATAAAAATCACTGTTCTTGTGAGCTTGTAGTAATTTTTAAATTTTTTTCAATCAACGCGATGTCGTCGATCTGCCAGAAGAGAAAAATGTTGAGTATAAAAGCAAACCAAAAAAAAAAAAATAAACAAAAAAGAATTGAATTAATTAAAATTGACAGAAAAAAATGCTATGGGGGAGGAAAGCCAAAGAAAAACATGCAACTGTGTGTCAACGTTCGCCGGCTGAGTTGCTATTTTATTTTATTTTTTTTTTTAATTTTTTATTTTATTTTTTTATTTTTTATGTTTTAATTTTTTTCTTTAAATTTTTTCACTTTTTTATAATTTGTTTTAAATTTTATTTTTTTTTTCGTCTACGCAAGCAAAATATTCGCGCTCGTGAAAATGAGCGGCATCGACGTTAACGCCGACTGCACTTATTTTGTTGCACTTGACATGCACAATTACTTAGTTGGCCGCGCGCATAGCGAATGGTGCATGACCGACTGACTGACGTACAATCGTATGACAGTTGAGCGAATGAACAGGCGCTGCTGCAGCGTGGGTGAATGCACCGCAGTAGCGCGGCGGCGTACACAGTTAATTTCAGTCTTAATACGTGCATATGTACATAAATATACATATGCATATATGTTGTGGGTGCGCATTTACTGTACAACACGATGTTAGGAATGCAACAACAGACACGCATCGAGTAGAACAAAAATATCAATTCGACGCCAGCGTCGTCTCAGTTGGTGCTGCTGCTGTTGACGCCATCACAACAGGAAATGCAAAATTAGAGGAATAAAGAATGTAAGCAGGGAATTGTTTATTTCATTTGTTGTTATTTATATATTAGTTATTATTATTAATTTATCGCGTCTCGTGTTGTCTTTCTTTCTTTTTTATTTTTCTATTATTTATTTAAATTTTGTTATTTTCAATGCATTCACTTTTTTCTTGTTACTTTGTGCACTTGTCACTCACAGCGAATTGTCTTTATGGCGTTTTTTTTTTGCCACGTCTGCATGATTACACGATGAGTGTGTGTGTAGGTGTTCGGGTGCATGAAAATAACTACCTAGCCGCGCCTCATTAAGCTATGCCGCTTCATTTTTAATGATCTTCTTTACACTTTTTATTCTTTCGTATTTTTTTTTTATTTCTTTCTTTATTGTTTTGCATTTTTGTACTTCCATTTGCTTTGTCGCCGCTTTTCGTCAGTGAACGCGCTCGCTGTACACGCTGAATGAATAACAAAACGATCGGCGGCATGATAGTGTAGAAAGCGTTGGAAGGTGGCGACGTGTGGGAGGGGTGGAGGTGAAAAATAAACAGATTTCATTTGAATTGTCGCTGCTTGTTTGCTTATTCTTTGCTCCCTCCTTTTGTTTTATTTTTCTCAACTACTTTTAAGTCGTTTCATGGCAGGGATTTTTATTTATATAAGGTTTATTAATATTTATGTGTTTTTCTTGTTGTTGTTGTTGTTGTTGTTGGCATAGATGAAGATGGCAGTGTGTTTTTGTTTTTGGTCGAGATACACAAATGTTTTTGTACAAATCTATGTGTGTTTGTAGCTTGAGCCTATGATTTGAATTTTGATTTGATAATTCAATTCACATCTGCAGACATGTGTACAGCTGTACATATGTATATATGTATATAAAATGGTAATCCTCAGAAAATAAAAAAATAACATAATGAGATAAAAAATAGAATAAGTCGAATGAAATAAATTTATTTAAATTAAATTTAGTTAAAAATAAATAAAAATCAAATAAAAAAGTATTAAAAATAAAACTAAAAAAAAGTGAAATAAAATAAAATAATGTAAAATAAATTCAAATATTTTACAACAAAATGTGAGTAAATTAAGACAAAAATTATATTATATCAAATAATTAAATAATAAAAATAAATATATTTAATTATATGAATTAACTTAAAATTGAATAAATAAAAAAACATTAAGCAATAAAATAATATTTCTTAAAATATAATAAGATATAACATAATATAATAAAATAAAATGAAGTAAAATAAATCATACTAACACATAAAAAAAGTTAATTGAAAAATTAAATAAAATTAAAATTTAACTAAAATTAAATAAAACGGAATACATTAAATTAAAAAAATATAATCAAAAATAAAACGAATAAGTGAAATTAAGTAAAATATAAAGCAAAATAAAATTAAAAAATAAATAAAATAAATAAAAAAATAAAAAAATTATATTAAATCAAAATAAAATAAATAAATAACATAAATTAGAATAAAAAACTAAAAGAAATTACTTGAAAAAAATTATTAAATAAACAAAGTAAAACTCAAATAAATTAACTAAAATAAAATTACACAAAATTAAGTAAAATAAAATAATATAAAAACTTAATTATCACAAAGTAAATAAAATAAAAAATCACATAAAATCAAATGAAATTAAATTAAACAAATGAAAAAAAAAAATAAAATAAAAAAAAAATGAAATATAGTAAAGAAAAATAATATGAAATAAACTAAAACGAAATAAATAAAAAACGAATTAAATTGAATAAAACAAAATTAAGAAAAATAATATAGTATAAAAAACTAACATAAAATCAAATTAAGTGAAATAAATAAAAAAATATATGTAGAGTGAAATTAACTTAAATTAATATTATAATAGTAAATATAAGATAAGGTAAAAGTTAAAAAATATCAAAACCCAAAAAAAAAAATTAAATATACAAATTAAGATCTCTGTTGCCAATTGCGGTCACCTTTTTGAGGGTTAACACGAACCGGAAACTATACCCTTGAAATTTCGATGGTTTAGTTACTTGTGTGGCACGTAGCGCCGGCTTGTTGAAAGTAAACGTTGTCCAGATCAATACCATCCAATTCCGATCATAGAAAAAATCATTAATCATTTCTCGATAGCGTATTCCAAGCATCGTAACTGTTGCTCCTACCCCACTTTCGAAAAAGTTAAGTCCAATGAGCCTGCATCAAACAGAGGATGGAGAGCCTTGACGTAGCAATCTAAGTGTATATCAAGAAGAGTTTTCGACTCGAAAATCCGAATCATTTTCATACATTTCAAGCATCCAATCAGCAGAGAACGGCATTGCTGAGATTTGGCCGGCTTGAGTTCTTGTGTTAACTGAACTTTATAAGGCTTAAGACTCAAGTCTATATGCAAGCTCTATTTTTCCGCCAATTTATGTAGTGCGTTCCGACAAGGTGCTTCACGACGGTCGACATTTTTTTTCTACGAATCGTTTCTGTCAAGTTTTCATAATTTTTTAAACGAAAAAATGCTACTGCCTTTTGAATATCAAAATAACACCTCTTATTGGAAAGGTCTGTACATAGAAATTTACCTATTTAATGTTTTAAATTAAATTTTATTTATTTATTTCTTGTTCGTCTACGATTTATTGAGACACAAATGAACTTTATTAATTGATAACAAGACTTTCTCTTCACCCTTCATCTTGGATACGTCATGACTTGCCGGTTGTGCGTCAAACTGCTGGACAATTTGTCATTCTTCATTTATTGCTTTCACAAAAATGGAAAAAAACATACATGCATGTGTAGATACATACATAAATACGTATGATCAGTATTTAGTCAATAAACAAATGTCAAACACTTATTGACAGAGTTAAAATATGGACTTAGTGGATAGGGGAGGAAAAACTTCGTTTAACCCTTAAAATAGTTGAGATCACAAATTTTTAGGATCTTTAAACGAGCGCCCGGCCATTTCGTGGCGCCAGCAGATATTGTATGCACAACGAATTTCAACCGATTTTATATCGAGTTATGAGACAGAAATGTGAAAACAGCGGGTAAGTGATCTCGGTTATCTAGGCCAAGCTTGCCGATTTCGACAAGCCAATCAGAGCGCACACACATATACACACCCATTGGAGTATACACATGTAACTAGCTACTTGTTGCTTCACAAATGACAGTTCATCTAGCCAGCTGTTTCACTAGCAGCAACAACAACAACAACAATACCAATAAATACTTCTTTTCATAAGACTCTTTACTACGTTTTTGCACTTTTATGAAGTTTTTGGTTTACTTTGCAAATATCTATGCACTTATATACATACATTAGTACATAGACTATATATGTATAATTTGATTGATTTGATTACAATAAAACGCGAAAATCCGTAGGCGATTGCCTACGACAAATAAACTCATAAATAATAAACTCATAAAAATAAAAAAAATAAAAAATTATTATTATTATATGTGTTGATAAAACAAGACATACATATTTGTATATGTAATTATGTGTATATGTATATGCAATGTGCGGCGACTAAATGAAGTGAGATTGCGGTTAGAAGTTGTTCCATTACACAGCTGTTGACGGTGGGCAAAAACGTTGGAGTGACATTGCAAGTAAATGCACATACATATGTACATATGTATGTATGTATATACAAACACATTACTTTTTTATTCACACATAGGTATATACATACATCTGTGATATCACACTCATGTATGTATTTAGTTACATATGTGTGTATATATATATACATATATACATATATATGTATGTATTTATATATTTATTTCATTTTAGTTAGTGGGGTTAGGTTATCGTCGTTTTTCTGGTTTATTTCCATTTTGTTGTTTTCGTTTATTTTATATTTTCATTTCGTTTTGTTTTTGTACTCATAAATAACTCGCCAGTTGTTTCTTATTACACTATTCGCTTACATTATTTTACATATTTCACAGCACACTTTAAATGCAATTCAATATTATTATGGCTTTACATATGCCATAAAATATACATACATACACATACATATGTTATGTGCGATCATTTTAGTTTTCGATCGAATTCACTTTTAGTTAAAAATATTGTATAAAATTGCACAGATTTCTGCTTTTTGATATAACAAATACGATTTTTCTTCCTCAACCAACGACAAAAAACTAGAAATGGCGTTTGACCGAAGGCGCAGGCGAAGGGAATTCGTAAAAACAACAGCAGCAGCACCACTAACAGCACATCGGATACATAATCGTATGTACATACGTACATTCGTATTTTTTTTCCTTTTTTTTTTACAAATACAGCACAAGTAAATATAAAAAAAATAAAAGAATACAACAAAACACACCAGTTAAAAACAAAATGTTGTGTTAACGCAACGCGCACGAGAGAGAGCGTTGAAATTGTGAAACGCACACGTTCTTCACATGAAATCGCAACGTACTGAAATCTGCTGCTTGCCTGCTTGGGGCTTGTAGCGGCAGGCGCTCCACACCACCAGCACTAGTTGTATGTACTATGTACGTAAAAGAGAAGAAGAAGAAGCGTATGCAGAGAGATTAAGCGACCTGTGAGCAGCAAGAGGCTAGTTGCCAGACAATAGATAAGAGCAGAGAACGTATTTACGTTCTCTGATAAGAGGTGAGTAGAATGAGCGTAGAATGAAGTAAATGGCAGAAAAACACATGTGAGTGCGCGGTTGGTGTGGAAAAGATCGACGTAAGGCGTTTGGCAGAGTTGCATTGTATGTCATTGGGAATTTTTCAAAGTGTCAAACTTTATGCGATGGATTAAGTAGTCGGATTGCGGTTTAGAGGTCCTGACAAAATAGGTTAATTTTATATCAAAGTGGAAAATTAGATTAAAGATCAATATTACACTATTTTTATAACTAAAATTGTATTTTATAAATCAAAAATATTTTAATTTCCTTCACAGATGAAGAGAAAAACATGAGATCAAAGTCTTTCGCTAACTAAAAAATTCTAAAATAAGTCAAAATCGTAAGTTTTGTAGATGTTTCAACTGTAAAGGCATACGTGTTTCGAATCTTTGCACCTCTGCAAAAAAAATGTTAGGGCTAAAACTTTTTCGAAGCGCAAAAGTGAGAAGATTCTAAGATGTTAACACTAACCAACATATGTATGTACATATATATGAATGAATAGCTGACTTTGTGGTTTTGAAACATAATTCGGCAGTGGAATATTAAAGAACATACGAAGTGTCGCAGTCGAAGTATATTTCCTTTGTATGGGTCATCGGTTCTACTAATAATGACCAAAGAGGCTCGAAAATTTTCATTTCTGCCTGCCTACATTTTTTTTACTTATAACTAATATAAATTAATATTAATTAATTAATAATATACTCGAGTGCTTCTAACTTGCATTTTTGGACCTAAGAAGCATGCTATGTTATGACTAATCAAATGATCAGTATAATTTCATACTTTCATTTAAAACCTTCCTGCAAGAGACCCTTAAAAACCAGCTCACCCTCCAAAACAACCATACTACGGACCCATATCTCATGCTGGCTTGAAATATCAACTTAACTTGGTTGGTTAACGAGTTACCGAAAATGCAAGCGCGGCATACTTCAGCATCAAAAAATCTTATACAAATATAAAGAAAACGTAGTTATCTCTCTTTACAGAGCTTAAGATCTCCACCGATCATCTGTTAACCTCCGATCTCCTACCCAGCTTCACGAGGCTCTCTATTTAGGCTCGAAAAACGTGTAAACTATATAACGCCTCGGCCGCATTCACTCCTCATCTTAAGCAAAACAGTAGCTTTGAATGTCAACAAAGAACTTTCCGATAAAAAACGAAACTTTTCAGAGAGATGTGCGCTCTTTTCTGTAACCTACATACACGTCTCCCATTCACTAAAATTATTTTCTGTAGGTAAAAGAGTCAGCGTACAATGCTAACCTTCGCTCTCGATACTACCTAACGACCTCACTACGCCTTTGGAAGAGTCTGTTTGGTGAACCTGTCTTTACAAGGTTAATAAACCCAAAATATCTCGCTAAGCAGGACCAGCTGGTTGTGGACTCGCAGCCCACTTCTTTTCTTGCGGTGCACTTATTTCAGTACAAATAATATTCATCAGTTAAATCAATCGCATACACCAACCAACTCGTTATGGCACATAGCGCCACCTATGAGTCGGCCTGTCGCAGACACCACACACCTTAAAAATCCCAGTATTTCCACAGCAACCCTATCTACAACTAGAAGCCCACACCAGTATCATCATTTCGCATTGGCTCCGCCCATATGGCACATACCAACAAATGCAAGTGCATGAGTGAGCGCACACATCTGTATGCCAAACCCCAGCATGATGTTTGCCCTCATATTTCCTTTCATAGTCTCGCCAACTTAGCATCCAGTTCAATGCGCGTTTATATGCAGCGCCAGCAACAACACTGCGCACACTTGCATATACAGTTACTTGTAACAATGGAGTCGAAGAAGATGGCGAAAAGATGTTTGCTTGTCGACGTTGCTGCCGCTGCTACTACTGTCACATGCCGACGGTAAAGATAAAGGCAAAGCAAAGGCGACGGCAAGACGTTCTGCTTGGACGAGATGCGCGATGGCACCCAGTTGGATTTTGCGCCGTGTGTGTGTGAGTTATGAGCTTATATTCGGCAAAATGGCTGCTGCCGTTGCTACTTGACTAACAGTTGTTGTTGGTGTAGTGAATTGTTGGCGTTTAGTTTTTTATATGTACATTCATATATACTTTTGAGTGGGAGGCTGAATTTATAGCTTTACTTATTCTCGTGTGTGTGTGTATGTGTGTGTGTGTTTGACAGCTGCGCCGCACAGTCGTCAGTCGACTGTCGACAGCGAAGTCTGCGGGGTTGGGGGCGAGCAAAGTTGATTAGATGGATTTCGTTTGGTTTTTGTGTTTTTAATCACACACCAAATTCATTTATTAAATCTTCGCATCAGCATTTCTCCAACTGTTGTTGGAAGAGCTGAAGAAGAAGAAGCAGAAAATGAAAAAGGAAAAGAAGAAGAAGAAGCGGCATTGCTCTGCCGACGCTAGTCAGCTTGGTTTTTTTTAGCTTGCAGTTATGTGTGTGTGTTTAAGTGCATATACACATACGTATGTACATATTATATACATGTGTATATGTATATGTATATAAGACATATATACTTATATTTGGAAATATGTGTATGTACATATATGTGTGTATTTCGTGTGTATTATTCTATTCATTTGCTTGCTTCTTCTCTTCTCCTTGTCGGTTGCTCAATTCGTTTTATATACTTTTCCTATAAATTTTTTTTGTTGTTTTTTTTTTCATTTTTAATTTCGCCTTTTCGTATTGCATGTGTTTTTTGCTTAACTTTTTATTTCATTATTCCAACTGAGCTGAGCTCTCTCTTACAGTTATCTACAGTTCAGCCTTTTTAGTTGTTGTTTCTGCTGTTTGTTGTTGTTGGGTTTTAGTGTCACAAGCAATTTGCTGCCAAAACTCAGAAAGTTGGCAAATGAAATTGTTTATAAATTAGCGAAATTGAATTAAAAAGGAAAATGAATTGCATTTTTTCAAGAGAGGGAGAGATAGAGAGAGTGCGGGAGAGGGGAGAACTGCAAAAATGCTATTAATTTTAATTTGACGCTTTTAGGGCAATTTTTTGATATATAATTTATTTTTATAAGCCGAAATGGAGGAAATTTTCAAGTGGAAACCCGACGAAATGCGAGTTTTCTTCCCTAAAATGTTCTCAGAAATTAAGAAAAAACGATATTTTTTTTTTTCAAAAACCATATACTGGGAGGGGTTGACTGACATTCGCTGCCAGTTCTATGAAATGTCCATATTATTAAACCCTTTTTTTTCAATGATAAAAACGCGAATTAAGTTTTATATCAGAAGAACATCAAGGCTTAATGAAGTGCTTAGATGTATTTTATATCTCCAGAGCTGCTGCCAGAGCTGCTGCCAGAGCTTAACCAAAGCCCAAGCTTAACCAGACCCAGTATTAACTGCTTTATCTTCATTGGTTTGGATAATTAAAATAAAAAATTAAGTTAAATTTTCTAAACGCGGTCGCTCCTCGGCAGGAAATGTCAACCCCTCCGAGTGTGTTTCTGCCATGAAATAAAAGCTCCACATAAAAATAATCAGCCGCCTCAAGACGCATACCATAAATTTGAGGAGGAGCGAAATTCCAGAAAATAAAATTCTTTTACAGAGCCATATGATTTTAATCATCTTCTGCGACTCAATTGATTTAGAGACAAAGTGAAGTGGGAAAATTTTATGCCTCCACCTAACACCTAACCCTTTGATACCCTTTTGTCTGATGAAAACTTCGAAGTTTTAACTTTGTCTCGGGTCTACGGTTACAACAGTAAGACTATACTCAGTTCCTGTTTTTGCGTCTCCATGGCACGCACTGGAAACGTGGGCGACCTTTGTGTGAGATGTGGCTACCAATACGCGTAAAGCCGTCAGTTATGACTAGAAGAGAGAAAGCTATAAACTTTGTAGTCTTATTGTAGCGTCTATTTATCAGTATTGGATCTGTGAGCGAGCATCGAGCTGAGAGAACGGCTTGATTTGTATTCCTCGCATAGTAGGAGTATGCTCTAGGTTCAGGATTTACCACTTGGAAATCAGTTCCAAGCACCTTAAGGACTAAGACTTAAGAGGTAAGCTATAACCGGTTTCTTAATTGGAAATGTGTCTGTTCAGCAGGGTGCCCATGACGCCCACATCAATTCAGAACCAGAAATGCGGCAAGGAATAGGGAAAACCTACTGAGACCTGTTTATGAAAGACTCATTGAAGAAAACACCGCTTTCTTTGCGAAATTCTACCAAAAAATTATTACTCAGCTTCGAACCTTGGACTGACCATGAGTTTGTTTTTAGTTAGTAAGCAAACATTTCCAAGCTAAACAGGTTCTTGCAGTACTCAGTGCCACAAGCTATTAAGCTTGTAATTTTTTTTAAGCACACCAATTAACCTTCCCTATAATGATCCAAAAATAATAAACATCAAACCAAAAATACTTTTAAATATTAATTTTTATTTTTATTTTTTTTATCAATTTACTCCACTCATCAGCCAGGTATTTGTCTTCCATTGTCTTTTGCCATTTCTACTGGATCTTTCGCAACTTAGTAGACATAAGTTGGGACGGGTGCTGAGTAGGCACCGGCTGAACCATATGCTGGTGCTGGAGCGGGAGCGGCGCAAGCGACTGGTGCCAAATTGGGTTGACAGCTGAAGAGATAGTTCTTGGGGCATGGTGGAGCAGGAATGCTAGCACCGGCACCGCCACCATAAGCCGATTTACGGAAACGTGTCAAATCGTAGGCGGATTGTAGGTTCACAGCTTGTGCGTTTTGTTCAGCCTTAGCATCTTGCTCGGCAGCCGCGGCGGCAGAACCGGCATTGCTGGTTGGACCGGCCAATGCAACGCTGAAGATGGCGGCGAAGATAGCAATGCAAACGAAAGATTTCATTTTGAGTTGTTGTGTTTTTTTTTTTGTGATTTGGTTAACTTGAACTGTGAAGCTACAGTAGTGAACTGATGATTGACCAGCGTCGGCACTGTGGTTTTTATACACAAACCAAAAGATTGATGAAGCAAATTGCGAATCAAAAGCGTAAGTTCTGTGTTGTAAGCTTTTGCTGTTGCAGCGATTTTATGTGCTGTTATTGTTGGCGAGCTAAAAATTATTAAATAACTCAATGCAATTCTGGCGTTTTTGTTTTACGAACTTATTGTTTTTGTTGCATCAATTTATTTTCTGCCGAATTGTAGATTTCGCATGAATGAGTGTGTAAGCAATTCGGCCGGTAGTAACCCAATTTTTATTGTCGAGGCTCGGTATTTACCAGAAAAAAATAAAATAAAATAAAAACAAAAACAACAATTCGCTAAGCTTTTCTGGTGGTCGCTAAGCATTGAACTAGATTTGACGAAGGTTCATTGGCGGTGAACTAGATTTTTTTTTGTGCTCGTGAGTTGTGGGCGAAGGAATTTGCACTCTATATTTTCATATTTGGGTCAATAATATTTATTTTTCATTTATTTCAATTATTAATCACTACTGAATGTAATTAAAATGGTTTAATGCAAGACTTTCTACAACTTTCTAGTTGTGCTTATTCATGATTTTTATTTCTAGACCATTTTCGTTGCTGAAAAGTAGTAAGAACTTTGATCAGCCGCCGTAAGTTTGTGCCTAAAAATTTAATTTTTTTTTAAATCTGTTATCTTTTAATCCAAAAATGATTTATTTGATCTACGCTTATATCGAAATTATACCAATTTTCGTTGATCTATCGGCGATCCCTTACCCGTTAAATAAAGTGTTATTAATATTTCGAGCAATATAAGCTTGGTTCCAGGTATCTGGTCCATTTCTATGAAGCAAAAGTTGCAATTTAGGCATCTTCCCATAAATTTAACTAAGCCGAGCCCTGTGAGTGCATACTCATTCAAATAGATCGGTCCCTGTGTCACTTCACGGAGAGAAAAACAGTTTTTCTGTTGATCAAAGCAAAAAACCAATCATGCACTTGTTTTTCAAGTAAACCGAATCATATATACGATATTTTCAATAGACTGCAGTGACACCTGCTAGGCTGATTTGTGAAACTAAACCATTCATGGCGCCACTTAAATGCATGCAAATCGGCCCAACCCTTTAGGAGGAATAATGAACTCATCTTTTACAACACATTTAGCGAAACGAAACCGAAATTGTGCAAGATTGACTGTAACGGTGTTAGGACCGTAAATGCTATTCAACGTCTGGTTTGCGTTTTCGCCCATTTAAAAAAAATACTGTAAAATGTGCGTATATTCTCTTTGCTAGTGTTCATCTTTGACACACGCTCAAACAAAACCGAATCTACCAATCACAAATCTACCAATCTCAAAAAATATCATCTCTCTAACGCCATCTAGCGGTACCCCTGCTGACTTATACAACGCGAGATAGAGATAAATAACGCCATCTATTGTGAAAAATAATGGATTTTTTTTACTACACCTCATATATATATATACATAGACCGAATGTAAAAGAAAGTTTTTTCATTTATTATTTTAAATCTTAATAAGAAGAAACAGTTAAGAATTCTACCAACGGCCATGTCGTTTCTCGCTTCTTGCTGGCCAAAGCACCGTGAAATACGTTCAGTTTTCGAGCTGAATTCACTTTCAACCAACTCACATGTAGCTCAAAATCACTTTGCTTGCAAGCTTAAATTGACTGGCTAAAATCATATTAACTTTCTGAACGATTAAATAGACAATTACCGTTGAACATGATTAGCTGAATGTCAACGAACCCACTACAAAAGAGCGAATCTACATCACAGGTTTGGCTGAGTTGAGCCAGACTATTTAAATGTGATGTCTTCAGAGTACGTGGTCATACCCTGTGGACCATTTTTTTACATTTTTCTTTATCACACCTCCCCCCTCTTCGGAACCAGGCGTAGTATATACTAAGAACTTCCTTCCTCCCCTCTTACTTTTTCGTAGTAAATCACAATTTGGTTTTAAGCCATTTTTACCAAGAGAAAGTGGAAAAAGGTAATTAAACTCAAATCCGTCATTGGTTGATTGGTACGTTGAAGGCGACGTTGAGGTCCTGAACGCAAGTAGCAGCAGCTAAGCGAATAATTATGCTCCTTGTGCTACTTTTACGAACCTTTCGCTCGATTTAATAAACTTATTTAATTTCATTGAACCAAAGTGTGTCCAGATGCGTTCCCTCGGTGCCTTTTAATTGCCTTCGACGTCGGTGTAACCCGGGACCCAAATGATATTCACTTGATATTCCCGCAATAATCTGCTAATTGCCTTTTTACACATTCTTACGTGGACTTGACCGTCTACCACAAACCACTTGGCACCTTGTGTAATACACACAATCTCTGTTTGGAAGACTGAGTTGTAGTTATTTAATTTGAAGCTACCTAGCATACTGGCGTGGTCGCAGAAGAACCCTGCTCCTCTGCCTGCCTCACATCCAGATACCTCGACTTATTCTCCCTTACTTGGTAAGTAGTAAGTGGTATTAACCCGGTCGCATTTTACGTTTAGTCCGAGGTATGGACTTGTAAATTCAAGTGAAAAAAAACTCATCAAGGAAAATCTTATGCAACAGCAACTTAGTTCTCAAAACCAAAAGTGATTTCTTCTTTTACTCACACTACCTTCATTTTACTCATCATTTTTCACCTGCCGTATCCTAGCAGGGAATATCAAACGGCTTCAAATAAATTGGAGGATGAATTCGGAAGACAACTTCTTCGACGGATATACAGAGGTAATTATATAATCTCCTTCTCCTTCTCTAACAACTCAATGGCACGTTTGTAGGAATCAGTTTGCCTCAAAACGGAGTTCAGTTTCGTTGCCAAGCTTTTCATCAGAACGAAATTTCTTTGCTAATATTTCATTTCCTGATTTCATGATATTCGATGATTATTGTATCACGCACCTCCCAGACTACCGAGACCGTAACCTTTCCAGCCGCCTCTGAACGGCTGATGTTTCTTTTATGAGCAGCTTGTATTTCATGTCAGAAATACACTCGGAGGGATTAACATTCCCTGGGGCGAACAAAATTAGAAAATTTAAAATAGTTTTGTATTTAAATTCATTTTCTATAACTTTTGGATGTTAGTACGACATCAGGATTTTAGCCCGAGCCTTCCGAATGGCTGTACGCAATGCTAACAACTTGGCTATCGCGGCGGCCACATATCGATACAAAAGTTTCGGTTCATTATATTTCAATGCCCGAACACTGCTCAGCACTTTGAACAGAGCTCTCTCATAGTCAAATGCAATGAAATCTTTACAATGACAGCTAACTCGGGTAACTTCATTTTTCGTTTGCGTTCAGTATCATCAGTCTCGCTTTTTAGAAGGTTCTTTGTTCTAGTTATGTCATACCATATTACAATTGGATATGGACTTCCATGTGTTTAGCAGTCTACGTATCAGATTCATCACTAGATGTTATGAACGTAGCCAACTCGTCTGCTCTTTCGTTGCCAAGAATGTTTCTATGGCCAAGAACTGAGATTATGATGAACTGCAGGGAGACCTTAGAGCCTTCTTGAAATTTTTGACGGCGCTCAAACTTGCCATTGCTGACGATACAACCTGTACGATGTGTCTTGACTCTCAAGATATTAGTACTTATGCTTGCAAGATGCCGTCTGCATTTGGAGGCATACAGATAGGGAGATTTTGGAATCATCGAGATATATTACCCACTCAACATTTCGCAGGTCCCGTTGATCCTCTACAAAACCTCTCTTCCATTCACGTCTGGAATGATAGAATACTCACCTTCAAGCTATTATTAAAATCTATTTGGGAGCAAATAATCTGATTTATTTAAAGGTAAAGGTAAATGCTGACGGTAAATATAAATTTAATCAAATAATTGCAATCGTTTCGGTTACGACATTTGTAAATGTTAGCGTTAAACAGTTATCAAAAAAAAATGTCAGTTAAAAACGCAATGCTGGCGTGAATGTTAAATTGTTAACAGAAAATATTAAACGTTAACATTGACGTGTGCTGTTAATAGCTTAGTTAGCAGCCATTAAAGTAACACCAACGATTATGTGGTGCAGTTTTAACATTAGCAGGCCTATTCTCACTGTTACCGGTAAAGTAAATTTTGTTACTTTTCTTTAAAACCCGAAATTGAATTTGGTTATCAGGCGAACTGGTTACAATGTTTGAAAAAAATTTGGCAGCACTGCTTTTTTCGTCCAAATCAAATTACATTTGCCAGTTGATAAAGTAAAAAGAAAAACATTCACATCGAAATGGAAGACGGTGCATAAACAAATTAAAAAGTTTTATTAATTTGTTTATTAAATCATAAATATTTGGACCTAATTATGGAAAATATGCCTGGACAACAGAAAAGCTGAATGAAAACGATATCTTACAAATTAAAGGGCTATTTTTTGTCTCGAAAACTTCTTAAAATACAGCTTTTTGCACTTTTTTCTTCATCTTCAATAAATTCCAGGCCTAAAATATGCCCACCCATTTTGGTTTTTATTTTTTCTGAAATTAACAACTCAAAATCAAACAGCAGATATTTTTGTTACCTCCTATTTCGCTGGTAACAAAATTTACAGGTTAACAGTGAGCTCAGAATACGAAATGGTAACAAAATTTACTGAATGGCAAATTTTATTACCTAGTTAAGTTTTGCTACCTCAACAGAATAGGCCTGTAACAATTTTATTTCATTGCAATTACATGGCGCTGAAACGAAACTCAAGCATTTAGTTTCGTCTATTGAAATTTTACTTAGGTTAAATTTTTTGCCATATTTTTTCAGTAACTTTTGTATGCATCAAAATTTTATACTAACAAATAGAAGTTCTTTAGTTTTTCTAAGTTTAAACCAGAAACTCTGCGACCAGCATTGCAACTCTGCAGTCACTACCATCAAGGAAAAGATTGCAAACGTATCAAAAGAAAAAAATACTTAAATTAACTGCATAACCATCTGAACCCTTTGACTAATCCCTTGGCCAATACA